GTGAAAGGTAACACTTTTTCCTGCACATCTGATGCATATCTCCCCTAAGTTGGAAGAATGAGGTTTTGAAAGTTAGTACATCAAATTAAGGGATGAGGCCTTACTGCAACCTTAAGGATAATTCAACAAGTACATTGGTTTATTGGATACTTTTAGTTTTCAAATGTTGTACAGGCATCCAGATACAGAATAGACTGGGATACTAAGTTTATCAAAGCAGAGTTTATCCGCTGATGGTGGTGAATGCTGGATATGAATTTCAAAATCTGGATATGAATCTGTATAGACTGATAGTCCTATTTTTACTTGGCTAAGGGTACAGCATAAATGCAGGATAGAAGGATCCTGTATATTTTGGCCACTACCAGCAATTTCACACAGAATGTAAAACGTAAGTTTGGGAAACAGGTTGCAAGCTTCTGGAAGTTCCCAGCTTCTCCCGAGTTTCTATAGAGGTAGAATCCCCTGAAAGGGGAGTGGAAGTGAAAATGAGATCCTTCCCATAATGATTCTACTGCATTAGCCCCTTCCTTGACTATATTAGCTCCTGGCCTGAAAGAGAAGGTCAGGTTGTATCTCCCAAGCTTAGACCTAGCCCTTCCTGAAGACACGGGGACCACAGTAATGGTGATAATGCTGTTTAAGCATTTGTCATGTTTGTCTTACTAGGCCCTTCATATACAGTATCCAAGATATAACTACTACCCAAAGAGATTATTCAATTTATGCTTGAAGAACTGGAAATGATGTAACTTGCTTGAGGTCACATAGTGAGTATGTAACTGGGCTGGCTTTGCAAACTCAAGCCTTTGAAGCTTCAGAGGCCATGCCTTGTTACACATCCTGAAGTGTGACACTCCAACCCATGAACATCCCATTGGAACGCTTGAAGGAAAAAACTGATTCTTCAGTTTTTCACTTTGAGAAAAGGGATGTTAGAATGATAGAGATGGTTTCATTCAAAAAGATATAAAGAAGATCTACCATTCCGCCCACAAGGTAGAGTCCTTTCCACAATATAAACCAGAGTGGGGGAAAAATCTCTTCAGTATCTAATTTTGAAGAGTTGCTATTCAGTTGTCTTAAACAATTTAGGATCCTACCATCACCCCCTAATACTGTAAAGAGATTAGACTTTAGACAGCGAGGGGATTGGAGTTCAGCATGAGCTCCAGGAAACTCATCCCCACCCCGGGAAGGTCTTTGATTTCTACTTGATGTCTGTAGAATAGTTGCAGATACCAGGAAGGCCAGATGCAAGAAACAAGACGACTTGGATAGACTCAAGGGATTATGACTCAGTTAATGGGTCTGTTTCTTCTCTCTGGACCAACCCTGGCATGCCAGGAACAGCTGTACTTTAAGTTTAGATTCTGTGCTCATCCTTCTGGGACAAAGCCTGCTATTAGCTTTCTATATTGAGGAAAGTGGGGAGGGCTGAGATCCCAGATGGAATTCCCTAGACACCTGAGCAGAATACTTTTAAGTGTAAGGTCTCTGAGGCATTTGTAGAGCCCCAGGCTCTTACTGACATGACCCAGCCCAGGTAAGAACATCTTATAAAGAATGATATAGAAAAAGAATAGGGGTCATAGGGAGGAGTTCCCAGTTTATAAGGATGAATAGACCTTGGGTAATCAACTTAGCTCATACTCCTATAAGTCTAAGGCAAGACTCAGGAAAGGGATTCCCTTGGAAGGGGATTTCAAATGGGTAGAGTTTCCACAGAGCCACAAACAAGGAGTCTGATGAAGCCTCTAGTTCACTAATGCCAATACAAGACCCTTTAATATATCACCATGTTCTTTAGATGCAATATTTTATTCTTATTCAACAGAGCCAAGTACTGTGCTAGCACATGACTTCTAGTAAAATACAGGTAAGATCACCACTCTTTTAGAACTTACTCTGTTTGGGGAAAGATACATCAGAAGACAATTCAGAACTATTCAGGCAGTACAGAAATAGGGTGCTGAACCAAGAAATCAAGGCAAGGCTCACTAAAGTTGATATCTAAGGTATAGCAAGGTGAACATGCAAGGATTCACTAGGCGAGGGAGGAAGGAAGAATGTCATTTCAATATCAGGAAAGAACATGTATTATTCTCAGAAGCAAAAGGACACATTGCAGTTGGGAAACAAAAATGCAGTCTCATTGGAAGGTAGTAAGCAGGGTGAGGAATGGTAAAAGCCATGGCAGGTTATGGTGAATGTGTTTGGATGGACCACTCAGACGAGAGGTTGCTTTGCAGAATCCTTATGCTCATACCATCCCTGTACAGAAGCTGCAGTAGACTACTGTATTTAAGGTATGAGAACTGCTCCTGACAAATGAGATATGAATTAAAGAGCTACTCTCAGTGTTAGGATCTTAGGGGAAGAGACAGGGGACAAAAACTTATTCCAAGAGTCGATCCTCCCCATGTAGCAGCTGAAGTGCATCTCTCTAGTCAAGGATATGCACTTCAGTTTCATGACATGTTCCCAGAAATGAATAGGAAGAGATGAAATTGAGGTATCCAACAGGGAACAGCCCTGTATGTTGTCAGGTATGAGGAAGGAAAGTGAGAGAAGATAAACTCCACCTTCTCCAGAGTTTCAAGTCAGGTCCAGAGGACATCTGACGTGGCTGGAACAAGGTCTGTGATACCAGAAGCTTATTGGATTTCATGAAAAGTCACTTCCTCTTGTGTCCACAATTCACCAAGAAATTCAAATCACAGATGAGACCAATTCACACTTGGTCTCATCTGTGATTTGTGCCTGTAAGTTCCTCCTACAACATGATCTCTGCACAAATCTAAAAGGGAGTCATTTGCCAGGGAAGAAGTGAAGGGATTCAAATTGCATTAGAAGGAAAGATGGACCCTGAAACAGCTTTCTCACTAATATAGGAGGAGTAATAGCTGTACTTAGGAATCATGGCAACAGAAAAATCCATGTGGTTGAGTCCTACTAATTTTTCCATTCAAGAACTCTACATTTCTGGAGTAGAACAAAACTTTTCCACATTACAGCTTTTTTAGTAGGACATATTCAAGCTATAAAAGCCATTTGATTAGACATAGAAGTAAAATAGAAAAGTCCCCCTTTATTGTAAATCTAAATATCAGGGAAAAGATTATCTAGCCCCTGATTGCCATGAGTTTATAGCTCTTTTGCCTTTAGGATTAATTCTGTGACTCGTCAAGTTTCAGATTCTTGTCCTACTGAGGAAGCAGTCTTGTCAAGAGATAATACTGGGTAAAAATTATATACTGCTGGATCTAGTCTGATATATTCATGAAATAAGAAGTGGCATAGTCAAAGGGGCAGTTGAAGGGACTATCTGCAGAGGCATGAGAAGAGTTAAGGAACTTGACAAGGGATGGGGGGGCACGGGGACTAACAGTAAGCAGCACTACTTAGCCCAGAACTGACTGGGTAAAGCAGGGCATGGTTGCCAGAACACAGGAAGGATCACTTCAGGAGCTGGGGCCTTTGGTAGAAGACCAAGACACTGCCAAACACAGCTGGCAGGAAGGGAACTAGAGAGTAGGTTTTACCCTGGTATCTCTTGTTAGTACCTCACATTGATTGAGCCCACCTGGAAAATAGAGGCCAAGGTAGTCTGGGTGATACAGCCCATGAGTAAAATACAGCATCTGGGACATAGAACAGGGATCTGTGCAAATGAAGAACAATTCACATTCACAGGCCAGTTCCTGTGTACTCCTTTCCTTCCCAGGCCCAATGACTCAGCCTTTTTATCTTCCCTATTTGCAGTTATTGCCAACACTATGTCCACTTGTCATAATCTTTGAGAACCTTAAGATGAACCCAGCTTATGGAGAGGTTTTATGGGATAACATCAGACTTACAGCAGTCATCTCCCCAAGCACCACAGCTTCCTGGAGACAGACATTCCAGAGTCTTTTGAAGTTTCAACATTTTTGGCTTTGCATGTTAGTCTCAACAGAATAAGGAGCTAATGCTTAGTGTTACTGTCAGACCCTGCATTTTCATTTAGTTATGACAACTTCTCTAGGTCACGGCTTTAAGTTTGTTGCAAAGTGTGGTTAGTTGTATTTCACTAATGGGATAAAGCAGTTTGCCTAAGCTCTCACTGCCAAGATCTGAAGACAGATCTAGAAACGTCCTAAGCCCAGATTACTGACTATTCTGTAGTCAACCTAACTAGGCTCAAGATGTGGAGTATGAAACTTCTTATGTGCTCCTCACTTTCTTTCACATTCCTGATATATAAGGAACACATTCTGGTATGATCTTTTAGACAAAGATTAAAAAACAAAAAACAAAAAACAAAAAACCAGAGACAAAACTAATTGTTTTCATGTATTTTCTTTAAATTGACGTCTTTTTAGTGAGTTGCTCTGGACTCCAAGTAAGGGTGTTTCATGGCCAAACATTTGTCTTAGGCTTCATGCCATTCTGCACTGAATGTCTTTTTCCTCCCTGCTGATAACCCTGTTTCTGGAGCCTTATCTTCATATTCAGCCTTCATGAAGGGAGGAGACCCTTGCCAGTCTTTGCCTTTGGGCATCAAATACGCATAAACTGAGTTTTGGTCAGCTTTCATCTTTCAGAAATCACTTTGTTTCCACCCTCTGGAAGGTCTCATCTTTACCATACCAAGTCTCTGCCTTGTGACTTTGGCCTGCAAATTAGACATTTCAGCTCATCCAGTAGTCAATTCTGATCCCAGGCTTAAGCTTTGGTTTACCATAGAGCCTAGATAGTCCCAGGTGTCTGACCCTCTGACACTTCAGTGCATCTCCTTTTCTTTCAAGGAGCTGTACACTCTAAAGCCTTCTAATATGATCTCAAGCACCGCCTCATAGCCTACCTGCAGTGGTAAAGGACCAAATAGTTATTTGCTTTAGGTCATTTCATTCACTGATGCAAGAATATAACTCCTTGAAGGTCATACTGCAAAAAGACATATTTCATTCCAAATGAGTGTTTGGCTTGTGCTTCATAAGATGTTGTGAACATTTTGTATAATGTGACACTGATATTCTAGAATTTCTTCTAAGGATGACTTATTATCTAACATCTAGTCAGTGACCCTATCACAGGACCTTAGAGTAAAATATTGTCTTTTATTTCTAGGAAAAACATCCTGCTACATTTAGTGGTACAAGTGAGAAGGTTCTCATATAAATAACCATGCTCACTTTTCATAATGTCTGCTCAGTACCCAGCTCCTTCCGGCTCACTGGCATCCCAGGACTGGAGTCCCTGCACATCTGGCTCTCCATTCCCTTTGGCTCCATGTACCTGGTGGCTGTGGTGGGGAATGTGACCATCCTGGCTGTGGTAAGGGTAGAGCGCAGCCTGCACCAGCCCATGTACTTTTTCCTGTGCATGTTAGCTGCCGTTGACCTGGTTCTGTCTACTTCCACTATGCCCAAACTTCTGGGAATCTTCTGGTTTGGTGCTGGTGACATTGGCCTGGATGCCTGCTTGGGCCAAATGTTCCTTATCCACTGCTTTGCCACTGTTGAGTCAGGCATCTTCCTTGCCATGGCTTTTGATCGCTACGTGGCCATCTGCAACCCGCTACGTCACCGCATGGTGCTCACTCATACAGTGGTGGGTCGTTTGGGCCTTGCTTCCCTCCTCCGGGGCATTCTCTACATTGGACCTCTGCCTCTGATGATCCGCCTGCGGCTGCCCCTTTATAAAGCCCATGTTATCTCCCACTCCTACTGTGAGCACATGGCTGTAGTTGCCCTGACATGTGGGGACAACAGGGTCAATAATGTCTATGGGCTAAGCATTGGCTTTCTGGTGTTGATCCTGGACTCAGTGGCTATTGCTGCATCCTATGTGATTATTTTCAGGGCTGTGATGGGGCTAGCCACTCCCGAGGCCAGGCTTAAAACCCTGGGGACATGCGCTTCTCACATCTGTGCCATCCTGATCTTTTATGTTCCCATTGCTGTTTCTTCCCTGATTCACCGATTTGGTCACTGTGTGCCTCTTCCAGTCCACACTCTACTGGCCAACTTCTATCTCCTCATTCCTCCAATCCTCAATCCCATTGTCTATGCTGTTCGCACCAAGCAGATCCGAGAGAGGCTTCTCCAAATCCCGAGGATAAAAATGAAGATTAGATGATTACTATTTTCTTCTCTCTCAAATAAGCTCAGGGGTAAGGTGTTTAAATATGGTAGACTGCTTTCTGTTGGGAACTTTACAAGCAGTTTGAGATACTAGGCACTGTGGTCTCCAACTTTTGTAGTTCCAAAGGAATTCTAAGAAAGTATACAACTCTAAGTCCTAAAGGTGGAAAATATAAAACTTATGACTAAAGGATATTTGAGCTGCAAAGAAGGTAAACCAACAATGACAGCAACAAGCTGCTAATATTTAGCATTGTATCATGTAATTCTTGAAAATATCCTGACATGAGGTATCATTTATATTTTATGAGAAAATAGGACAGAACACCCTTGCTTTATGAACTACGTCCAGTTACTTAAGCTGCCTAGCTCCACGTTTGGTTGGAGTTTGTAATACATTGTAAAGTTATGTATTAATACTTTCCATTCTTTGTTTTCTGTATATCCTTTAAGGTAAATTCTAAAAACTAAGTCATTTTAATTGAAGTTTCCTTAGCTGCAAGATGAGACTTCCTGAGTTAAGCCTCTCATAATTGAGATGCTGTTCAAGCTGCCTATAATAATGTGTTCTAGAAGGCTCACTTTGTATATGCCCAGAAGATTTGGGGATACTTATGAAACAGAATGTGGCCTGAAAAAAATTGTCAGGTCAATGAAGGAAAATGAGACAAGGTTACCATGTCTCAACATTGCCTTTGTTGTATTCTCTCTGCAGGCTTGATGCATATGAGGACTCTGGAAATAAGCCTTCCCTTTCCCCCAGAAACACTCCCCAAACCCTAATCCATCTGTAGGATTCCTGCTGATAGTGTGCTACATCCTTAAAATGAATCAGCTTCAAGTTGCAAGTTATATAGTTTATAAAGACAGTGACTTTATCCTCCAGATTAAATGTTAGCTCAATGACTAGAACATAGTTAATATGAACAAAGCATTTAGTTACTATTGATAGAATTACTGACATAGTCCTCCCAACTACATTGTAAGGTAAGAATTACTCCATTTTGCAGACGAAAAAATTGTCAGGTCAATGAAGGAAAATGAGACAAGGTTACCATGTCTCAACATTGCCTTTGTTGTATTCTCTCTGCAGGCTTGATGCATATGAGGACTCTGGAATAGCCTTCCCTTTCCCCAGAAACACTCCCCAAACCCTAATCCATCTGTAGATTCCTGCTGATAGTGTGCTACAAGCATCCTTTAAAGAATCAGCTTCAAGTTGTGTTATATAGTTTATAAAGACAGCAGACTTTATCCTCCAGACAAATGTTAGCTCAATGACTAGAACATAGTTAATATAGAACAGCATTTAGTTACTATTGATAGAATTACTGACATAGTCTCTCCCAACCAGCATTGTATGTGTAAGAATTACTCCATTTTGGGAGACGAAGAAATTGAGGTTCCCAGAAGTGATAGAATTGCCCAAGGTCACTTAGAGAGCATAACAGTGAAATCAGAATCTCGCCAAGTTTGTTTTCAAAGCTCAAAAGCTTCCAGCCTTCTGATCCACATTTCAAAAGTTTAATCATGCTAAAAGAAAGGTCTTTCCTGGAAGCTCCATAAGGTGCACTTAGTCAAGTAGCTGCAATCGGTTATTTCTAAAGTCAGAAGTCAGAAGTGTGCTGGGGATCAAAAAGCAGTCTTTTTTTTTTTTTTTTTTTTTTTTTTTGAGATGGAGTCTTGCTCTGTCGCTCAGTTGGAGTGGTGTGGCATGGACATCTTGGCTCACTGCAAAGCTCCAGCTCCTGGGTTCACTTAATTCTCCTGCCTCAGCCTCCCTTTGGTAGCTGACTACAGGTGCCCACCACTCATGCCAGTAATTTTTGTGTTTAGTAAAGACAGGTGGTTAGCCAGGATATCTGACTCTGATCCTGTGATCCACCTGGCTCAGCCTCCCAAAGTGTTGGGATTCAGGCAGCTCACCATGCCCGGCCAGTAGTCTCTTTTGCAGAAAGTGTTTCCAGAGGAAGGACAAAATGGGGTCCAAGGTCTGCTCACACCCTCTACAACTCCATAAAGTCAGGAAACGTTGAATATCGCTATAGGCTTTAGGTAAACAATCAACTGACCAAAGTGAGAATAAGGAAGAAAGAGCACCGCATGATCCAGAGAAATTGCTTTAGCCAAAACTTTGGCTAGTCCAGTCCAGGAGAATGGAAACCACTCCACCAATACATCTGAGGAACATTTGGGATCCAATTACATGCATCTCTAGCTTCCATCCTATCACACACCATAATGAGGCTTCCTAAACTTACATCCAGTTTAGAGGAGGGAACAGTGTGTTTCTTCAGAATGGAAAAGCAATCATAAGGTAAGTCTTCTGCTTTACATATCCCACCATGGTTGGCAACTAGAGTAAAGATATTTTTCTGAATCAGTGCAAAGTATGTGCTCACCAGCTCTTCTATGCAGGTGAAAAAGGGTGTTATAATGAATCTGAACTTACCTCTGATGTGATTTTAAAATGTCATTGAACAAGGTTAAATCTCAGAGAGAGAGAGGGAAAACTTGCTGTTCTCCCACAGAACATTTTTCTGGAGAAAGTATACTGAAGAAATGAGACACAGTTGGGACTCCAATCTATGGAATTTCTGGAATTCAGCCTATCATATTAATGAATCTTGTCTTCAGCCCACAAGCAGTAGCCCTGTGTCAGATTATTAGTTATAGAATAGCATGTTCTTGTTAATTCTAGTTGCCATTATAATATTAAAGTTAGAAACGAATGTTATGGACATTAAGTTGGCCACCTACATAAAAAGGTGAAACAATCATGAAACATACAAGAAGTTACAAAATTATTGTGGCAACCTCTTTGAAGGGTACCTTCCAGATCTCAGCAATGAATGCAGCTGACTAACAGCTTTAACTGCTGCCATCTACTATCACCATGCTCCTATCTGAGGCCACATTTCCCAGGAAGCTGTTCCCAGTGATCCAGGATGACAGGGACATAGAATAGACCCATTTGGAACTGCACACTTCGAACTATGACTCCAGGACTCTCACATGACTTAAAAGTTTCAGCAAGGCTGTGAGTTTACAGATCTTTCCTATAAGATTTCTCTCTCAACTTTATAGATGTCAGGCTGGCATTTTCCATTAGTTTTTCTCTAAATCTGCTCCCTCCTGCATTCTCCTTCACAAGCATATCCTGCAGTAAGATACTAAGATGGGATTAGACCTGGGATAGGTATTAGTTATTTGTTGTATTGATGCCCCTGCAGAATAATGAAATTGAGGGCTAAACAGTTCATGGCTAGGCGTGAGAACTTATGGTCTTCTTGTAAGCAACCAGAAGCCCCTGCAATGATATGTACAACCGAGAAAGCCAACTAAAGACAATTGTTACAAGCAGAGAGCTCCTCCAGAAACATTTGAGAGCTCAGCAAATAGTGTTATTCTAAAGTCAGCCAACACGACATTGAAAAACATGGCATGGGAAGGGAGCCCAGAGGAGGCTGAACTGCAGATAACTAAATGCTTAAGTAGAGGTGACCTACTTTCTTAGTAAAGGTAATAATTTTGTGCAGCAACAGGTATTCTCTCAGGAACTGCTCTCACCTCTTCAGGCTGCCAGGATGATACATAGGGGTAAAGCACAGCATAGAGTCTGTTGTGTGAGAATAGGCAGGGCTCCAGATAGAAGAGGAAGTAAGTGTATAACAGAATGGTTTTTAGAGTTATCTGTGTTCCCTGGCAAAGCCCTACCTCAAGCCTGGAAACCCACGGCCTCTAAATGGGAACATGCATTCCTATATTTGCACCCAAAGCGCCTTTGGCCTGCCATACCCCCACCCTGTACCCTCCTCAGTATAAACCCCAGATCCCACAAGCAGATGAGATGACAGAAGAATAGCAGAACAGCAGAGAGAAGAGAAGCAGCATCTGAATACTGAAAGGAGTTTGGCTGGGGGTGGTCAGAGAAGAGATCAGCCACTGAATTGTCAAACTCTAGGAGAAGATCATCTTCCCATTCCATCCCTTTTCCAGCTCCCACTCCAGCCCACTGAGCACACAACACATGCTCACTTCCCAGGTTTGGAGTCACAGCTCCCATTTCGGACACTGGGCTGAACCGTAAAGCCAGCCTCCTGGGCTGTCTTGCACTCTGCCTCGCCTGTGTGTTCTCTTCCATAAGGAGTTTGAGCACATGCCTGCAGGTCAAACAGATGAGCCACACTTTGTCACATGTCCTGTGATGGGGTCAGAGAACTCTTTCATCTGGGCTTGTCTGGGATACAAAAAGAGTGCAAGTTAAAATGCAGTAACTTAAAAAATGTCTCTTCCAAGACCCTGTCAACTCTTTCCTGATAGGGACAAGAGAATATTGGCTCTATTTCCTTCATAGAGGTCTAGTCAATGCTGGCTGTGATCACTTCCTCTCTCTCTCTCTCTGCCACACCACACACACACTCACATCTCCCGCCACACACACACACACCTACATCCCCTCCCCTCTCTCTCACACACACCACGTCCCGCCTCACACACACCCCTCACATCTCCCTCTTACACAACCTCTCTCTCACACACATACACCCTTCACGCCTCTCTCTCACACACACACACCTCTCACGCCCTCCACACACACACACCTCTCACATCTCCCCTCACACACACACCTCTCAACACTTCCCTCCTGGCCACACACACACATGCCACACCTACCTAAGTCTCCCTCACACACACACACACACACCCCCTCACATCTCCCTAATCTGTCTCCTCACACACACATCCCTCACATCTCCCCCCACATATCCTCTCATGTCTCCCTCACACACACACACACACCTCCCTGTCTCCCCTCACACACACACACACAACCTCACGGTCTCCCAATTCCTCACACACCCGCCTCACGTCTCCCCCACACACACCCCCCCACGTCTCCCCAACTCACACACCCGCCTACGCTCTCCCGCCCATACACACACACACACACACACACACACACACACACCAACCACTCATACTCTTCTAACA